GTCTTGTTCAGATGGCGTCAAGAAGTGGAAAATGGGCTTATATTTAATATATTTTGGTATTAATAATTGATTAATAGTTGATTCAAGGGAAATGTTTTTATGATGTTTACAGTCCAAAGAGTGATATATTAAGAATGATTCCCCCAATTTAGGTGATGAATTTAATGGTGATATATGGCAATGATGTCCCCGTTTTCTTCCGAGGAAATTTCCACTGTGCCTCATTTTCAATGAGTTACTTTGTTAATACAAACCAACAGCAATATTATCTGCCTTTTGTATTAAATGTTAGTAAATGGTGGTGGTTTTTCCAGCATAATTCCGGAGGGGGGGGGGGCATCATGGGTCGAAGTCCAGTACTTACGACTGACAAACACCGATACTCCTCAGAATGATTAAATTAATTTGATATTAATTGTTAGTAATCACCCTTTTGTGCATAAATTCGTACAGGATAGATGAGGCTGAACACAATGTACCATCTGCTCTCTTTGCCTAATTTCATTTATTTACATTTTCCTCAGTTAAACTTTAGTAGCTTTTTTCTAGATCATTCATTAAGTTTGTCCAGGTCGTCCTGTATTCTCTGTCTATCTTCATCTGTCTTGATTCTTCTAATATTTTTTTTCATAATCAGCAGTGTGTGTGTGTATTCACCTAGTTGTCCTTGCAGAAGTTGAGCTCTAGTTCTTTCGGCCCGCCTTTCAACTATCAATCAACTTTTTTTTCTACACACACACACACACACACCCAGGAAGCAGCCCGTAGCAGCTGTCTAACTCCCAGGTACCTATTTACTGCTAGGTGAACAGGACTCATTCGGGTGAAAGAAACTCTGCTCATTTGTTTCCGCAATCGCCGGAGATCGATCCCGGCGATGCACATTCCAATCCTGGAAATATGCAGCTCCAGCCTGGGGCCAGATTCACGAAAGCACTTACGCAAACACTTACGAACCTGTACATCTTTTCTCAATCATTGCCGGCTTTGTTTCCAATTATTAAACAGTTAATGAGCTCCGAAGCACCAGGAGGCTGTTTATAACAAGAACAACAGTTGAATGGGAAGTTTTCATGCTTGTAAACTGTATAATAAATGTAACCAAAGCCGTCTAAGATTGAGGAAAGATGTACACGTTCGTAAGTGTTTGCTTAAGTGCTTTCGTGAATCTGGCCCCTGGAGTCCGTACCTAATTAAACACACATGATAACCACCTACAAAATTCTCAGGGTAATTGACAGCTTAAACAAAGACAAACTCCTTAGCACGGTTTGAAGACGATCAAAGGGACACAGGTGGAAACTTAATATCCAAATGAGCCACAGAGACGTTAGGAAGATTTTTTCAGTGTCAGAGTAGTTAACTAATGGAATACATTAAGCAGTAATGTGGTGGAGGCTGACTCCATACACAGTTTCAAAGGTAGATTTGATTGAGCCCAGTAGGTTAACAAATGAGTACACCAGTTGATTGACGGTTGAGAGGCGGGACCAAAGAGCCAAAGCTCAACCCCCGCAAGTACAAATAAGTTAGTACACACACACACACACACATTGAACTGGAGCATTAGAATAAAACAAACATGGCAGGGAGTCACCAAACTCAGAGGGAGGTGAAGGACACGATGACTCTTTTAAGGAGGCAATTGTTCACATGTGGAGTCAAATCAGTGAAGAGCTGAGGGTAATGAGGGAGACCGTAACCAACCTGCAGGAGGAGCTGAAGGAGGGAAAGGAATAGATAAATAGCCTGAAAGATAATTCTCCTCAATACCAGACATGAACAATCCCTCAGGAAGCTGGTAATGTATCTTTAGAAGGAACTTCTACAATACAACCATCAATTGCAGATATACTTAGAAAGAGCCCAGAAGCTATGGCTGCAGTACAGGAAATATGCCATGAAAGTTACTACCTCTCAGGAAGCAGCACGATGTACTAGCCGGCTGATAGACAGGCAAGAGCAGTAGTCGTGGTAGGTATTAGGGAACACGCAGCGGCCTGTCCAGTGGAGTGGAGAGATTAGGACAAAGCTGCAGTTTAAGAAGACCTGGAAGGGGAACAGAGGGAGAGGGATGAACGGAATATATAAATGGTGTTCAGGGTTGGCCAGTACAACAAGGACCGAGACCTTCAGTTACAACCCCCACAGGCACATCTAGGTGAGTCCTTAGGGAAGTAAACTTAGATAAGTACACTTACGGAAGTAAACTTAGTTAACTACACATAGGTAATCATGCTTAGGTAACAACACTTAGGTACTATTCTTAGGTAATTACACATAGGTAATTACACATAGGTAACTACGTTTAGGTACCTATACATAGGTAACTTCACTTAGCTAACTACACTTAGGTATCTACGCTTTGGTAAGAATGCTTAGATAACAACACTTGGGTAACAACACTTGGGTAACTACACTTGGGTAACAACACTTGGGTAACAACACTTGGGTAACTACACTTGGGTAACTACACTTGGGTAACAACTCTTGGGTAACTACACTTGGGTAACAACACTTGGGTAACTATACTTGGGTAACTACACTTGGGTAACTACACTTGGGTAACTATACTTGGGTAACTACACTTGGGTAACTACACTTGGGTAACTATACTTGGGTAACAACACTTGGGTAACTACACTTGGGTAACAACACTTGGGTAACTACACTTGGGTAAGTATACTTGGGTAACTACATTTAGGTAACTATACTTGGGTAACTACACTTGGGTAAGTATACTTGGGTAACTACACTTAGGTAACTACACTTGGGTAACTTCACTTGGGTAACTACACTTGGGTAACAACACTTGGGTAACAACACTTGGGTAACAACACTTGGGTAACAACACTTGGGTAACAACACTTGGGTAACTACATTTAGGTAACTATACTTGGGTAACTACACTTGGGTAAGTATACTTGGGTAACTACACTTAGGTAACTACACTTGGGTAACTTCACTTGGGTAACTACATTTAGGTAACTACACTTGGGTAACAACACTTGGGTAACTATACTTGGGTAACTACACTTGGGTAAGTATACTTGGGTAACTACACTTAGGTAACTACACTTGGGTAACTTCACTTGGGTAACTACACTTGGGTAACAACACTTGGGTAACAACACTTGGGTAACAACACTTGGGTAACAACACTTGAGTAACTACACTTGGGTAACTACACTTGGGTAACTACACTTGGGTAACAACACTTGGGTAACAACACTTGGGTAACAACACTTGGGTAACAACACTTGAGTAACTACACTTGGGTAACTACACTTGGGTAACTACACTTGGGTAACTACACTTGGGTAACTACACTTGGGTAACAACACTTGGGTAACTACACTTGGGTAACAACACTTGGGTAACTACACTTCGGTAACTACACTTGGGTAACAACACTTGGGTAACTACACTTGGGTAACTACACTTGGGTAACAACACTTGGGTAACTACACTTGGGTAACAACACTTGGGTAACTACACTTGGGTAACTACACTTGGGTAACAACACTTGGGTAACTACACTTGGGTAACTACACTTGGGTAACAACACTTGGGTAACTACACTTGGGTAACTACACTTGGGTAACAACACTTGGGTAACTACACTTGGGTAACAACACTTGGGTAACTATACTTGGGTAACAACACTTGGGTAACTACACTTGGGTAACTACACTTGGGTAACTACACTTGGGTAACTACACTTGGGTAATAACACTTGGGTAACAACACTTGGGTAACAACACTTGGGTAACAACACTTGGGTAACAACACTTGGGTAACAACACTTGGGTAACTACACTTGGGTAACTACACTTGGGTAACTACACTTGGGTAACAACACTTGGGTAACTACACTTGGGTAACTACACTTGGGTAACAACACTTGGGTAACAACACTTGGGTAACAACACTTGGGTAACAACACTTGGGTAACTACACTTGGGTAACAACACTTGGGTAACTACACTTGGGTAACAACACTTGGGTAACTACACTTGGGTAACAACACTTGGGTAACAACACTTGGGTAACTACACTTGGGTAACAACACTTGGGTAACAACACTTGGGTAACAACACTTGGGTAACAACACTTGGGTAACTATACTTGGGTAACAACACTTGGGTAACTACACTTGGGTAACTACACTTGGGTAACTATACTTGGGTAACTACACTTGGGTAACAACACTTGGGTAACAACACTTGGGTAACAACACTTGGGTAACAACACTTGGGTAACAACACTTGAGTACCTACACTTGGGTAACAACACTTGGGTAACAACACTTGAGTACCTACACTTGGGTAACAACACTTGGGTAACAACACTTGGGTAACAACACTTGGGTAACAACATTTGGGTAACTACACTTGGGTAACTACACTTGGGTAACTACACTTGGGTAACTACACTTGGGTAACTACACTTGGGTAACAACACTTGGGTAACTACACTTGGGTAACTACACTTGGGTAACAACACTTGGGTAACAACACTTGGGTAACAACACTTGGGTAACAACACTTGGGTAACAACACTTGGGTAACTACACTTGGGTAACAACACTTGGGTAACTACACTTGGGTAACAACACTTGGGTAACTACACTTGGGTAACAACACTTGGGTAACAACACTTGGGTAACAACACTTGGGTAACAACACTTGGGTAACAACACTTGGGTAACAACACTTGGGTAACTATACTTGGGTAACAACACTTGGGTAACTACACTTGGGTAACTACACTTGGGTAACTATACTTGGGTAACTACACTTGGGTAACAACACTTGGGTAACAACACTTGGGTAACAACACTTGGGTAACAACACTTGAGTACCTACACTTGGGTAACAACACTTGGGTAACAACACTTGAGTACCTACACTTGGGTAACAACACTTGGGTAACAACACTTGAGTACCTACACTTGGGTAACAACACTTGGGTAAGGAAGAGAGGACAGGGTGACCTACCAGACTGGACATGGACGGAGACGGCAGCGTGGCCGCCAGTGTCGGGGCGGCAGCTGTACCTGCCGGAGTCTGCGGGAGTGACGGCAGACAGCAGCAGTCTCGCCACACTCCGGCTCGGAGTCTTCTCTGTCTGGTTATGGATACACTTCCTCTTAATATATGTGGGATAACTATTCATCTGTTCACTCTGGTAATTGAAGCTACATTTCAGACAATAATTACCTAATATTATATATACATATATATTTATGATGCCCTCTCCTATTTCTCCTCCCCAATGCCAGCGTTAAGGGTCATATCCACTTACCTTGCAGGTTCCCTGAGACGCAGGGAGTCATTTGATATGAGAGGCTACTAAATAGATTACATACTTATGGAGAAATTATCATATATACGTTTTGCAGGTAAGGGGGCTTATGCCCCTTGTACATTCAAAATGGCTACGTCTGTAGGATTTTGGCGTCTTGACGTGAGGGCACCAGCAGGCTGGCGATTGGCTGGTCGAGGTCACGTGATGTGACTGACCAATCAGAGCCCACTGTGACGTCATCTGGAGGCCTGACTCAAGACGGCAGGTCACTGCGCCAGCAGAGTTCCACGGGTCTTTGACGCAAGCGGAAGTGCGTCAGTGAGCTCCCAAGATTGGAAGTTCTGGGAGCCTTGCTCAGTGGATTTGAACAGCCATCGCAGTCTACCATTGTCGCAGAGGAATAGGTACTCCTGGAGAGTATGAGGAAACCAAGTTTAGAGGGCAAAGAAGTGCCAAGTTCTGGTGGCTATTAGTCGGTGACAGAAGGTGAGCGGCGACGCAGAAAGGGCAAGTTCTGGTGCCCTGTGGGTTTCGCCCTGGTACGACGTGCAATGCTGTTGTGACTCGGTCACATCTACTAAAATTCTGGAGGGAAGACACCGCATCCGGATCCAAGAGAAAACGTCTCATTGAAGGAGCGAGTGTGGACGGTGACATGCTCAGTGACTGCTTGGATAAGATTGGAAAACCTGAATCCAGGGAAAAGGTACGGCAAAGACGCGATTTCTTCACAACGTCTGAGGACCTGTGACACACAATTAGAATGCCGAGGAGCGACCTAGGAACAGTGTACCTTCTACCAACGGAGGACAGGCGTCGATGGACAGGAGTGATTAAGGTAGATCATTATATCCCTCCCATTGTCTCCTGATGATTAGGCTAGGTAGGCCCAGTACATATATATATCATTAGTGTATTTCTTATTATATTAGTATTAGACTAGGCTGCAGGTCAGCCAGTATTACTACTCCTGGAGAAGACAGCGTGGGATCGAGTGTGGCAGTTGGTGTCCGAGAGGACGACGTCGATGGGGCTGCCAAGGGTTGTTGTTGTTGTTTAAGATTCAGCTACCAGGAACAAACAGTTCCAAGTAGCACGAGCTATGGTGAGCCTGTAGTGGACTTACCTGGCACAGGAGCGGGGTAAGTTTAAATTTGCTCAGCAGTCCAAGTTGCCAGAGGTGGCGAGAAGAGAGCTGACAACGTTCTCCAGATCATCTATTTCATATATTTACTCATGTGTTATTTCTTTATATGATTCATGTAGTTTTCGTATAGTAAACTTCATATCACTTATCCTGATGTGTTTAAGGGCACCCTCCACCTCTCTTTGAACATTATATAAGTGATACTATATGCACCACACTCTGGTCATTATTATTTATATTATGGAAAATATCTTGGTGATTGGCAGTATTCGAGTACACTGATATTTATGGAAACGTACCCTGGGCTGGTAATACTGAATCAACACTGTAATCATGGCAATATATCATTGTCTAGCGACACAGAGTTTAACCACTGAACTGCATTGTTGGGATGCAGTTACAAACCCAGCTGGCTACCTTGTGAGTAGTTGAGTGACACAGGTGTCTGACAAGGCACGGGAACGCGACCTACCGACCATTGAACTTTTGGAGGCTGAGGTTGCTTTCTTCGACCATTTCGAAAGGATAGCAACATTGAGGGAATGGCCGGAAGAGGATTGGGATGAATTGGTGCAAAGCAGATTGATTGGTGAGGCCAGAGAGTCTTATAACATGTTAAACATTGAGGAGTGCGCCAAGTACGACACAATCAAGAAGGCGGTGCTCCACTCATATAGACTGACTCCGCAGTTCTACCAGAAACGTTTTCGTGAGTGCACAAGAGCATCGGGAAGATCCTACGCTGAGATTGCTCATGACATGGAGCGCAAGTTTCTATGATGGCTGAAGGGCGAAGAGGTGGAAACAATGGAGGAGCTGAAGCAGTTGATCGTAATGGAAAAGTTCATGTCGATGCTCCATCCGGATCAATGCATCAGAGTGAAATAGGCAGGAATTAAGGACCTTAATGCTGCAGCAGACAGAGCCGACATACTGGAGGAGACACTACATCACCGGAGAGAGGGACCGCCCAGACACTCGCCTTACCCAAGGTTTGGTGAGAACTTCCAGAGTTCAGGAGCGAGGACGGGTGGGGACTCTCCCAAGAGTAGCTTACCCAGTGACGTGAACTGGTTCAAGAGCTCGAGGGACGTGGACCTAACTCGGGAGCAAGCTAGTGCTGCTCGGGAATCGACGACCGGGAGTCCAAGGAGGACCCAGGGAACGTCTGCTGTTGGTGCTGCCAGGGTGACTGGTAGAGGGTCGCCCGGAGGAGGCAGCTGATATTAAATTAAACTGTGGAGGTCGTGGACACTCCTCACGACGATGCGTCAATGCTTTAATTGTGGAGGTCGGAGTGCACTGTGCTCGAGAATGTGGCCGACCAAAGCACGATAGTAATATGGCTTTCGTAAGAGTAGGAAGCGAAGAAGCCAACGATACCTTAGGTTAGATGCCAGTCATAAGGGAGAAGAGGATTCACCCCTTTGTATGTGAAGGAACGGTGAAGATAAGAGGAGCTGAAGCAGTCCCAGCAAGGATGCTGAGGGCACACGGGATCTGATTTCACCCTATTTAGTGAATCCCTCTTCCCTGAGGCCTACAGGAATTCCAGTACATGGGTGACTCCACGAGGTGACTCATAATTCTGACTATGGTTGCCAGACTCTCGTGGAAGGGATCTGTGCTTCGCTTCCCAGAATGGAAACTCAGATGATCTTAGGAAATGACTCCTGTGGGGGGATGCGTTCTCCCGAACTTGATCAAGGGCGAAGAGTGTATAGAGCCCTACAGAAGGAGCAGCGCGACAGACGCCGGAGGTGATGCAACGGAAATTGCGAGAGTGGCATTTCCAGTTTGCGCAGTGACTTCGGGACATGACGTCAATTTTGATGATATGAGCGGATCCGGTCATGCCAAAGAGGACATGCCGGGTAACCTGGGGCTCAATCATCTGTTCAGAGAGGAGGCTGGAGGACAAGTGCCAGGTGGGGAAGAGTCGGAAAGGAGTATCCAAGTTACTCTCACCAGTCCTCTAGATATTGACAGTGCCTGCCTAGGTGAGCTGCAAAAGGAAGAGTTTCCAGAGTTGGTGCGGGATGCTGAAGGAGGTCTCGCTGGTCCCGAGTCACCGACGCATTTCTTCCTGGAAAAGGGAGTGTTAATGAGACAGTGGAGCACAGTACAAGAAGAGGCTAATGATGGTATGCTGGGAGTAAGGTGTCAAGTGACGGTGCCAGTGCGATATAAAGGCGCGGTACTCGAGCTTGCGCACTCAGTGGATCCCTGGGAGTGACCTAAACCTTAAGTCAGATTCGAAAGCATTTTTATTGGCCTGGCATGGACGCAGATATAAGAAGAGCCTGCAAGACATGTTTCTCGTGCCAAAGACTGGGGGAAGAACGTCCCTGCCATTCCGAAAGCACCTTTAGTGTCAGTTCCTGCGTTTGGCCAGGCATTGGAATGCCTAATAATCGACGTTGTGGGACCATTACCTAGAACAAGAAGAGAAAATAGTTACTTGCTGACCATTATGTGCGCTTCTACAAGGTTTCCAGAAGCGATCCCAGTGCGGAAGGTGACATCAAGATGCATCATTGGACACCTTCAGCGAATCTTCTTTTGGGTAGGAGTGCCCAAAGAAATTCATTCCGATTGCAGAAGCATTTTCCAATCGAAGGGGTTTAGGCAGACTATTGCAGGCTGGTGAATAGCCCAACTACGATCATCATCTTGCAGGCCTCAGTTGCAAGGAGCGATTGAGAGATTCCACTCCACCCTGAAAACCGTTTCGCGAGTGTATTATGCGGAACAGGGAGCAGAGTGGGATGAAGCTATATTTCCAGCCCTGTTTGCAATCAGAAATGCTGTGGTTGAGTCTTTGGAATTCTCTCCTTTCCAGCTAGTGTTCGGACACGAAGTAAGAAGTTCGTTGTTGATGTTAAAGGAGCAGCTGACGTCGAGGAAGACATTAATGACAGTGGAAGAGTATATGCAAAAATTCTGAGAACGGTTGAAAACGGCGAAGAAGCTGGCTGCTGAACACTTAAAAAAAGCACAGGAGGAGATTTGGATTGACAAGAACGCTGTCCCAAGGGAGTTTGAGGTGGGAACCAGAGTAATGATGTTGCTACCTGGGACAGGTTGAGTGACGGAATCACGCTTGTCCATACTCGGTCGGCAGGCGACTAGGTTCTATAAACTTTGAAATCAGCAAGCTGAATCGCACGCCCCCTGCACCCCCCCCCCCCCCGCAAGACACAAGTATGTCTTGTCAACCAGGTGAAGCCATACTTCCTAAATGAGCAGGAGAACGCGAATGGGAAGGAAACGACACAGTCAGGAGAAGAGAAGTCGGTTCTATGTATGGAACTGAACCGAGAGTTGCCGACAGAGGAAGGAAAGTGGGCCCGTGCCGATGGTATGCGTATTTCCAATACAGAAAGTTTGATGCGCTTGAAAGAGAAGCTAAATCATCTGAATGGAAGGTAGAGAGGAGATCTAGTGACCCTAATAAGAAAGAACGAGTCGCTCTTCACAGATGTGCCCCAACGGCACAAGTGTGGTGCACGAAGTAGATGTGAACTGTGGAAAGTCAAAGAAGCAGAGCATATCGGGTCAGTCCTGAGAAGAGTGGAATGTGCGATAGGAGGTAGAATATTTGCTAGCGAATAATTTCATTGAGCCCAACAACAGTAAACAGAGCTCACCTTGTGTTTTGGTGTAGAAGGGT